CAGACAAACAAATGGAAATGGAGGATCGTATGGAAAATAAGTAACAACTTGCAGACATAAATCCAGTCATATCAATAACTGCATTGCATGTAAGTGGATTAAACACTCCACTTAAAAGGCAGAAGTTCAAAGACAGACTAGGGTGTGCCAGGGTGGCTCAGTCAGTTAGGGATCTGACTTTTTTAAAAATTCTTTTTAATGTTTGTTTATTTTTGAGAGAGAGAGTGTGAGCAGGGGAGGGGCAGAGAGAGAGGGAGACACAGAATCTGAAGCAGGCTCCAGGCTCTGAGATGTCAGCACAGGGCCCAACGTGGGGCTTGAACTCACAAATGGTGAGATCATGACCAGAGCCAAAGTCAGAAGCTTAACTGCCTGAGCCACCCAGGCATCCTACAGGTCCTATAGGCGTCCTTGATTTCAGCTCAGATCTTGATCTCACAGTTTGTGAGTTTGAGCCCCGCATCAGGCTCTGCACTGACAGTGTTGAGCCTGCTTGTAATTCTTTACCTCTCTCTCTCTCTGCCCCTCCCCTACTCATTCTCTCTCTCTCTCTCTCTCTCTTTCTCTCTCTCTCTCTTAAAAATATATAAATAAACATTTAAAAATATTTAAAAAATAAAAGGCACAGTGGATTGAAAGGCAAGATTCTTTAACAGGGAGAAACTTAGCGTGTCTGACTCCATATTGCTTGTTTTTCCCTTGCTGCTGTGACCTACAGGCTAGAAACTTCTGCTTAGGCCTGTATATAGGCATGTTACAGCTGAGATTTGCAAAAAACTGAATTTTTTTTTTTTTTTGCAAACCAAAACCTCCCTCCCTCAAGGAGTTAAGGAAGAATGTACAGAAATGACCGTGCTATTATGTTTAAGATATACAGGAACAACATGACCAGATTCCTGTATACAAAGACCAACTACTCAGGGACAAAAGAAGTTATACAACCCTCCTCAGATATCTACAGATGTCATCACCTTTTGACTCCAGCCCTCTCTCACATTCCCCTCTTCCTAACATAAAAGAAGCTCAAATATTGTACTGGGGGATTCTTTGGGACAATACTCTTCCATCTCCTCAGTTTCCTGGCTTTCCAAATAAAGTCACCTTCCTTGCCCCAATACCTTTTCTCTCGACCGAATGGCATACAGAATGAGCTTGCAGCATGCAGAATGAACTTGGACTTGATGAAAGTTCAACTTTATGCTATTTACAAGAGAGCTATGTTTGACTCAAACAAATAATAAGGAAAGGATATACCATGCAAACAATAAGAGAACTGGAGTGGCTATAAATAGTATCACACAAAGTAGATTTGAAAACAAGAACTATAACTGAGATAATGAGGGAAATTTCATAATTATACAAGAGTGAATATATCAAGAAGATAGTACAACTATGAAGACTTAACAATAGAGCTCCAAAATACACAAAGCAAAGGTGGCAGAAGTGAATGGAAAAACAGATAATTCAATAATAATAGTTGCAGATTTCAATACCTCATATCAATAACAAATAGAACTAGAAGGAATATTAATACTTATATAGAAGACCTAGCCAGATATTTATAGAGCATGCCACCCAGCAACAGCAGAATACACATTATTTTAAAGTGCATATAGGGGCACCTGGGTGGCTCAGTCGGTTAAGCGGCTGACTTCAGCTCAGGTCACGATCTCGCGGTCTGTGAGTTCGAGCCCTGCGTCGGGCTCTGGGCTGATGGCTCAGAGCCTGGAGCCTGCTTCCGATTCTGTGTCTCCCTCTCTCTCTGCCTCTCCCCTGTTCATGCTCTGTCTCTCTCTGTCTCAAAAATAAATAACATTAAGAAAAAAAAATAAAGTGCATATAGAATATTTTCTAGGATAGATTTTATACTAGGCCATAAAACAAGTCTTGATAAATTTACAAGGATTGAAATCATACAAAATATGTTCTTCAATCACAACAGAAAGAAATTAGAAATCTATAACAGAAAGAAAAATTTATCCATTCATCAGTTGATGGACATTTAGGCTCTTTCCATAATTTGGCTATTGTTGAAAGTGATGCTATAAACATTGGGGTACAAGTGCCCCTATGCATCAGCACTCCTGTATCCCTTGGGTAAATTCCTAGCAGTGCTATTGCTGGGTCAGAGGGTAGGAGGGGAGGGTGGGTGATGGGTATTGAGGAGGGCACCTGTTGGGATGAGCACTGGGTGTTGTATGGAAACCAATTTGACAATAAATTTCACATTAAAAAAGAAAGAAAAATTAAAATCCTTCAGTTTTGAAAATTAAGCACATTTCTGAATAATTCATAGATTGAAGAAAAAAATCACATGACAAATTAGGAAATACCTTGAAGAGAATGAAAATAAAATACAACATATCAAAAATTTAAGATGCAGACAAAGCAATGCTTAGAGGAAAATTTATAGCTTTAAAATGCTTATATGAGAAAGGAAGAAAGATCCTAAATCAAAAATCTAAATCTCCACTTCAGGAAGTTAGAAATAGAGCCAATCAGTTCAAAGTAAGTATAAGGAAAGAAATAATATATTTTCAATGAAATAGAAAACAGAAAAACAATAGAGAATCAATGAACTCAAAAGTTCTTTTCTTGAAAATATTTTTTTAAATAAAGATTAATCTTTACCTAGACTGACAACTAAATAAAATAAAATAAAATAAAATAAAATAAAATAAAGGAAAGACAAATTACCAAACATCAAGAAGTTAAAGGATTATAAAGGAATATTATAAACTTCAGGTCAACAAATTCACAAATTTGGCAATTAGATGAGGTAATCAAATTCCTAGAGAGATACAAATTACCCAGACTAACTCAAGAATAAGTAAAAAATTTGAATAGGCGTACGAAGAGTAAAAAAAGTTGAATTAATAATTACAAATCCTCCCACAAAGAAAAATCCAGGCCTAGCTGAATTTAGTCAAATATATGCCAATCTTACACCAACTCTTTCAGAAAATAAAGGAGAAGGGAACAGTTCCCAGCTCATTCTTTGAGGCCACTCCTACCCTGACAGCAAAAGCAGACAATGACATCACAAGGCAAGAGCGTTATTCCTCATGAAAATAAAGGCAAACATCCCTAAATAGAATCCAGTAACATGTAAACAGGATTATGCACAGTGACCACACAGGATTTATCCACAGGAATCCACACAGGAATCCAAATGGATCAGAGACTTGAGTGTGAATGATAAAACCACATAAGTGCTGAAATAAAACATGATTGAATTTAGTATATCCTGATGAATTCTGTTTTGAACTTTGTAAAATCCAAATGTACTAAAAGAAAAGATTGATAATTTTTACTACCTCAACATAAAAAAGAAAGTTTTCGATCATAAACAAGAAAAAAAAAAAAACAACACATGCAGCTTTACCCATAATAAGAAATTAAAATAATACTGAAATACTGTTTCTTACCTTCAGAAATAGGATTGGAAAATAGGAACTGCCGTTTATTGCCATAGGAATGTGGAGTGGTATAATCTCTGTAGAGGGAATTTGGTAATATCTAACAAAACTACCTGTATATACATAACAGTCTAATAATTAAGAAACATCAAGAAAACCCAAGTTGAGATAAATTTTGTAAAATAACCAACCTGTAATCTCCAAAAATTTCAGTGTAGTGAATGACAAAGAAAAACTGAGGAACTGTTTCAGGTTAAAGAATTCTAAGGAAACAGGACAACTTAATGCAATGTAATCCTGGACTGGATCCTTTCTGGGGGGTGGGGGAAGCTACTGCAAAGGGTATTATTAGGACAATTGATGAAATTAGAGAATCCGTAGTTAGATAAAAACATACTAATGTTAGGGGCACCTTGGTGGCTCAGTCAGTTAAGCATCTGGCTCTTGGTCTCAGCTCAGGTCTTGATCTCAGGGCCCTGAGTTCAAGCCCTGCATTGGGCTCTGCACTGGGCATGAATCCTACATAAAGACAACAACAACAAAAACATGTTAATGTTAAATTTCCTGGACTTGATAAGTGTGTTATGGTTTTGTAAGAGGATGTCTCTGTTCTTAGGAAAAATACATTGAAATATTAAGTGTAAAGGAATATGATATATATAACTCACTCTCAAGTCGTTCAGAAAAATTATTAAATCTATGAAATATGTAATATTTATATATTTAGAAGGCATTAATTGTAATACTTTAATAATGCATGTATTATAAAAAATAGAGAAAGAAGATGATAAAACAAATATGGGATGATATTTAAAATATGGGTAAAGGTTGTATGAAAAGTTTTGTGCTGTACTTGCAACAGCAAGATTTCTGTAAGCCTGAAGTCATTTGGAAATATAAACTTAAGAACAAAATTAACGTGGCTAAAAAAAATATCCAAAACCCTGTAAGACCTGTACTGTATTATGTATGAATTAGAGAATTAGATTTCTCTTTAGTAAAAAAAGTCAGGGATGCACCACATTTTTTGTGGGTTCTGGATTTTAAGATTTTTAATAACCCTTTTGAAATAATCTTTTTTTTTAATAAAGCAGGAGCAAAACTAATATGCACATATAGTTTATAATAAAACCGATTCCCCCCAGCCCACTCCCTGCCCTTCCCATCCTCAACCTTGGCTGTTTCTCAGAAGCTTTATCTTTGAACCCTTCCTGGATTGAGTCTGGATCCCACTGCATATGTTACGCAGTACACTGATCCCACTCCCAATTTGAGAGAGTGTCAGTTGACTTCCGCCTACAGTGAAGGAAGATGTAGCTTGTTTATACTCTCATCCTCCCCTTTCTGTTCTTCTAGAAGAATGATGTCACTATTTTAAGTTCCTTTGGCTTTTTTTCCCCACCAGATTTATTAGGATATAACTGACATAGAACATTATGTAAATTTAAATTGTACAACATGATGATTTGATACATGTGTGAAATGATTGCCACAATAAGGTTGGTTAGCACATCCATCACGTCACATAATTACGTGTGTGTGTGTGTGTGTGTGTGTGTGTGTGTGTGTGTGTGTGTTTAGGATATTTAAGATCTACTCCCTTAGCAACATTTAAGTGTATGATACAGTATTGATTAACTATAGTCACCATGCTGTACATTAGATCCCCAGAATGTTTTCTTCTTATAACTTGAAGTTTGTATTTTTTATCAACATCTCCCCATTCCACCCTCCCTGCCCACCCCCCTCCCCCACACCCTTGCAACCATTCTCCTCTAGTTCCTAGCCTTAAAATTTTAAATATTGTAGTTAAACCAGTGCATCTCATCATAGATAGAAAGTAAAGACCATATCTCTTGACTTGCACTTTGTAAAATGAAAGCATTAAGACCCTGTTGTTCCCTTTACTTCTTTTAACTCTTAATTTCTGTGAACTAAACCTTTAGATTGCTAAAGTTGAGAGTATCTACATTATATTTTGGAATTATAATTAAGTTTTCTTTGTCTTTACTTGATTCTGAAAGTGGAAACCAACACAAAACTTTCAGGTTACTGCGAGGAGGTGCTGTTGATTGCATAGCCAAGTACTGTGCTCTGATTACATTTCTTCCTCCTTGGCTGCAATGTCTTCACTCCTGTGCCACTCAAAGGAGAAATCCTCAAATGGATTTTTTTTTTCTTGCACTCCTCCAATTGGTCAGACTCATGCCATATCTAAGCTTATTTCATATTTGGACTTTGCCTTTCTGGTACTTACCCCTTTTTCAAACTCCATGCTGAAATTACAGATTGCTTTACACTTTACTTGTTTAGGGGAGAAATGTATCACTTTTCAGCTCATTCCTTTTACTGCTCAGTGTCTCTGTTGTTCAGAATCCATTTCATTTCTTCTTCAAGGATAATGATCTCCTGTTCTGTCCTGTGTTGAGTCAGCTGCTTCATATTTGGACCCTAGCTTTCTTGAGAGCTTTTAGTTTTTCTTGGAGTATCTAAGTGCCTTCCTTTATTTACTTCCAGGTGTTTCTGGGCTTTGATCATCCCAAATGTGAGTTCACACTCCATTCTGTTGAGTCCTTTCTCCCTTCCTCCTCCCACTCCTGTTTTCTCTGTGTTTGTTTGTTTTTTTGGGTTTTTTTCCCCCTTCACTTAGAACTTCCTTCTGAGAGGACTGAGCCTCCCTGATTCATTCTTCACTGGGCTCTCACACTAGGGCATTTTTTGTATTGCTATCCTTGTTGTATCCATTATTTCTTAGATTCCTTAGCTGCCTCTTTGCTTTTTCTTTTCTTTTTTTTTAATATGAAATTTATTGTCAAATTGGTTTCCATACAACACCCAGAGCTCATCCCAACAGGTGCCCTCCTCAATACCCATCACCCACCCACACCTCCCTCCCACCCCCCGTAAACCCTCAGTTCTCAGTTTTTAAGAGTCTCTTTTGTTTTGGCTCCCTCCCTCTCTAACCATTTTTTTCCTTCCCTTCCCCCATGGTCTTCTGTTAAGTTTCTCAGGATCCACATAGGAGTGAAAACATATGGAATCTGTCCTTCTCTGTATGACTTATTTCACTTAGCATCACACTCTCCAGTTCCATCTACGTTGCTACAAAAGGCCATATTTCATTCTTCTCATTGCCACATAGTATTCCATTGTGTATATAAACGACAATTTCTTTATCCATTCATCAGTTGATGGACATTTAGGCTCCTTCCATAATTTGGCTATTGTTGAGAGTGCTGCTATAAACATTGGGGTACAAGTGCCCCTATACATCACTACTCCTGTATCCCTTGGGTAAATTTCTAGCAGTGCTCCTGCTGGGTCATAGGGTAGGTCTATTTTTAATTTTTTGAGGAAGCTCCACACTGTTTTCCAGAGCGGCTGCACCAGTTTACATTCCCACCAACAGTGCAAGAGGGTTCCTGTTTCTCCACATCCTCTCCAGCATCTATAGTCTCCTGTTTTCTTCATTTTAGCCGCTCTGACTCGTGGGGGGTGGTATCTCAGTGTGGTTTTGATTTGCATATCCCTGATGAGGAGTGACGTTGAGCATCTTTTCATGTGCCTGTTGGCCATCTGGTTATCTTCTTTAGAGAAGTGTCTATTCATGTTTTCTGCCCATTTTTTCACTGGATTGTTTGTTTTTCGGGTGTGGAGTTTGGTGAGCTCTTTATAGATTTTGGATATTAGCCCTTTGTCTGATATGTCATTTGCAAATATCTTTTCCCATTCCTTTGGTTGCCTTTTAGTTTTGTTGATTGTTTCCTTTGCTTTGCAGAAGCTTTCTATCTTCATGAGGTCCCAATAGTTCATTTTTGCTTTTAATTCCCTTGCCTTTGGGGATGTGTCAATTATGAAATTGCTGCGGCTGAGGTCAGAGAGATTTTTCCCTGCTTTCTTCTCTAAGGTTTTGATGGTTTCCTGTCTCACATTCAGGTCCTTCATCCATTTTGAGTTTATTTTTGTGAATGGTGTAAGAAAGTGGTCTTGTTTCATTCTTCTGCATGTTGCTGTCCAGCTCTCCCAGCACCATTTGTTAAAGAGACTGTCTTTTTTCCATTGGATATTCTTTCCTGCTTTGTCAAAGATTAGTTGGCCATACTTGTGTGGGTCTAATTCTGGGGTTTCTATTCTATTCCATTGGTCTATGTGTCTGTTTTTGTGCCAATACCATGCTGTCTTGATGATTACAGCTTTGTAGTAGAGGCTAAAGTCTGGGATTGTGATGCCTCCTGCTTTGGTCTTCTTCTTCAAAATTACTTTGGCTATTCGGGGCCTTTTGTGGTTCCATACAAATGTTAGGATTGCTTGTTGTAGCTTCTAGAAGAATTCTGGTGCAATTTTGATTGGGATTGCATTGAATGTGTAGATAGCTTTGGGTAGTATTAGCATTTTAACAATATTCTTCCAATCCATGAGCACGGAATGTTTTTCCATTTCTTTATATCTTCTTCAATTTCCTTCATAAGCTTTCTATAGTTTTCAGCATACAGATCTTTTACATCTTTAGTTAGGTTTATCCCTAGGTGTTTTATGCTTCTTGGTGCAATTGTGAATGGGATCAGTTTCTTTATTTGTCTTTCTGTTGCTTCATTGTTAGTGTATGAGAATGCAACTGATTTCTTTACATTGATTTTGTATCCTGTGACTTTGCTGAATTCATGTATCAGTTCCAGCAGACATTTGGTGGAGTCTATCAGGTTTTCCATGTATAATATCATGTCATTTGCAAAAAATGAAAGCTTGACTTCATCTTTGCCAATTTTGATGCCTTTGATTTCCTTGTGTTGTCTGATTGCTGATCCTAGCACTTCCAACACTAAACAACAGCAGTGAGAATGGACATCCCTGTCGTGTTCCTGATCTCAGGGGGAAAGCTCTCAGTTTTTCCCCATTGAGGATGATGTTAGCTGTGGGTTTTTCATAAATGGCTTTTATGATGTTTAAGTATGTTCCTTCTATCCCGACTTTCTTGAGTGTTTTTATTAAGAAAGGATGCTGAATTTTGTCAAATGTTTTTTCTGCATTGATTGACAGGATCATATGGTTCTTATCTTTTCCTTTATAAATGTGATGTATCACATTGATTGATTTGCAAATTTTGAACCAGCCCTGCATCCCAGGAATGAATCCCACTTGATCATGGTGAATAATTCTTTTTATATGCTGTTGAATTCGATTTGCTAGTATCTTATTGAGAATTTTTGCATCCATATTCATCAGGGATATTGGCCTGTAGTTCTCTTTTTTTACTGGGTCTATGTCTGGTTTAGGAATCAAAGTAATGCTGGCTTCATAGAATGAGTCTGGAAGTTTTCCTTCCCTTTCTATTTTTTGGAATATCTTGAGAAGGATAGGTATTATCTCTGCTTTAAATGTCTGGTAGAATTCCCCTGGGAAGCCATCTGGTCCTGGACTCTTATTTGTTGGGAGATGTTTGATAACTGATTCAATTTCTTCACTGGTTATGGGTCTGTTCAAGTTTTCTATTTCTTCCTGTTTGAGTTTTGGAAGTGTGTGCATGCTTATGAATTTGTCCATTTCTTCCAGGTTGTCCAGTTTGTTGGCATATAATTTTTCATAGTATTCCCTGATGATTGCTGGTATTTCTGAGTGATTGGTTGTAATAATTCTATTTTCATTCATGATTTTATCTATTTGGGTCATCTCCCTTTTCTTTTTGAGAAGCCTGGCTAGAGGTTTATCAATTTTGTTTCTTTTTTCAAAAAACCAACTCTTGGTTTCATTGATCTGCTCTACAGTTTTTTTTAGATTCTATATTGTTTATTTCTGCTCTGATCTTTATTATTTCTCTTCTTCTGCTGGGTTTGGGGTGTCTTTGCTGTTCTGCTTCTATTTCCTTTAGGTGTGCTGTTAGATTTTGTATTTGGGATTTTTCTTGTTTCTTGAGATAGGCCTGGATTGCAATGTACTTTCCTCTCAGGACTGCCTTTGCTGCATCCCAAAGCATTTGAATTGTTGTATTTTCATTTTCATTTGTTTCCATATTTTTTTAAATTTCTTCTCTAATTGCCTGTTTGACCCATTCATTCTTTAGTAGGGTGTTCTTTAATCTCCATGCTTTTGGAGGTTTTCCAGACTTTTTCCTGTGGTTGATTTCAAGTTTCATAGCATTGTGGTCTGAAAGTATGCATGGTATGATCTCAATTCTTGTATACTGTTTTGTGACCCAGTATGTGATCTATCTTGGAGAAGGTTCCATGTACACTCGAGAAGAAAGTATATTCTGTTGCTTTGGGATGCAGAGTTCTAAATATATCTGTCAAGTCCATCTGATCCAATGTATCATTCAGGGACCTTGTTTCTTTATTGACCGTGTATCTAGATAATCTATCCATTTCTGTAAGTGGAGTGTTAAAGTCCCCTGCAATTACCACATTCTTATCAATAAGGTTGCTTATGTTTGTGATTAATTGTTTTATATATTTAGGGGCTCCCGTATTTGGCGCATAGACATTTATAATTGTTAGCTCTTCCTAATGGATAGACCCTGTAATTATTATATAATGCCCTTCTTCATCTCTTGTTACCACCTTTAATTTGAAGTCTAGATTGTCTGATACAAGTATGGCTACTTCAGCTTTCTTTTGACTTCCAGTAGCATGATAGATGGTTCTCCATCCCCTCACTTTCAATTTGAAGGTGTCCTCC